AATTTCATATCTCATCATCACATTAGCAGTCTCTCGCAGACAAGGATGACATTTTTCCACTCTCAGTGTGAGTCTGTAGGTGGCCGTATACTCCAATGCAGCTTCTGCAGACTCTGCCACACTTGGGGCAAAAGGTGGCCGTGGGAAGGGGTGGGTGGGGTGTTAGTGTGGCAGTTTGCTCCTGGCTCTATTTTTGCCTGGCTTCCACATTTTCCTGACAGCAAGTCCCAAGGTGCTCGACACCTTCCCAGATTCTTCTCCTCCGCTTTGGAAGACTTAGGCCAGTGATTCGCAGGTGTTGGGGGGGAATGCTGCACATTGCCAGTGAGGCCTTGAGGGTGTCCATGAAGCATTTCCTCTGTCCGCCTGGGGCTTGCCTGCAGTTTCAGAGCCCTCCCGTGTAGCTTCATTTGGTGCTACTACATTTTTCATTGCTCTCCTGCATTCTTCATTGAACCAGAATTGACCCTCCACATTGGTGGTAATGGTAGAGCAAGGGGTTTGCTGGGACATGATGTTACAGATTAAGGTTGAAGACAGGTCTGCTGTTGCTGTCTCATAGTGCCCGATTTTGGGTTACTATATTTGTTCTAAATCTATCCCATTTAGCATGTTGGCTGCATCACAAAAACATAACGGAGGGTATCTTCGATGTTTTTCTTTCTTCATTCTCTGGCGATGCCAGCATAATTGCCCATACTGAATTACTTTTGCAAAGATGGCTATGAGTTGCCTTTGAGTCATAGAGTGGTAGAGTTTTATGACACAGCCCATCAAGTCCACTCTAGTCTAGTCCCATGTCTAGCATTTGGCCTGTAGCCTTGTATGCCATGGTGCTTCAAGTGATCATCTAAATCCATGTTAAAGGTTGTAATGATTGCTGCCTCTACTACCCTTTCAAGCAATGAGTTCCGGGTACCACCACTATTACAATTACCAAATAAAGGGGGGAAGCAGTGTTGAGGATTATCATGGAGGAGTGTTGTTGCCTATCCTGGCTGATTGTCATCTATGGATCAGGATGTTGAGGACCCAGTTACAGAGGGGGTGCTGAGACCCAGGTCTCGGAGTCTAGAGATGAGTTTGTTTGGAATTATGGAGTTGACAGTGGAGTAGTCAATAAGGAGGAACCTGACATAGGTATCCTTGTTATCCAGGTGCTCCAGGGATGAGTGTAGGGCAAGAGAGATGGCACCTGTTGTGGACGTGTTGTGCTGGTAGGCAAATTGCAAAGTCATAGAGTCATAGAGTAATACAGCATGGAAACAGGCCCTTGGGCCCAAACTGGTCCATGCTGACCAGGGTACCCATTCAACTAGTTCTAATTGCCTGCATTTGATCCATATCCCTCTAAACCATTCCCATCCATGTACATATTCAAACATTTTATACCATTGTACCTGCCTCAACCACTTACTCTGGCAGCCCATTCCATACTACTCTCTGCTTGAAGAAGTTGCCCTTCAGGTCCTTCTTAAATCTTTGCCCTCTCACCTTAAACCTATGCCCTCTAGTTTTCAATTAACCATCCCTGGTAAAAAGACTATATGCATTTATCCTATCTGTGCCCCTCATGATTTTATACACCTCCGTAACGTCACCCCTCAATCTCCTACATTCCAAGGAATAAAGTCTTATCCTGGCCAACCTCTCCCTATAACTCAGGACTACTAGTCCTCATGAATCTTCTTTGCACACTTTCCAGTTTAACTATGTCTTTCCGATAACAGGGTGACCAAAACTGTACACAATACTCCAAGTGCGGCCCCACCAATGACTGACACAACTGTAACATAATGTTCCAACTCCTATACTCAATGCCTCAGCCGATGAAGACCAACATGCTAAATGCCTTTTTCACCACTCTGTCCACCTGTGACACCACTTTCAACAAATTATGTACTTGTACTCCTAGGCTCCTCTGTTCCATATCACGCCTCAGGACCTTATCATTTACTGTAAAGAATCCTCCTTTGGTTTAACTTTCCAAAGTGCAACACCTCAAACTTACCTATATTGACTTGCATTTGCCAATCCTCAGTCCACTTCCCCATCTGATCAAGGTCTCTCTGTAATTTTTGATGACCTTCTTCACTATCAATGATACCTCCTAATTTTGTATCACCCGCAAACTTACTAATCATGCTTTGTACATTCACATCCAGATCATTTTATGTAAATAACAACTAACAAAGGTCCCAGCACCAACCCCTGTGGCACACCATCAGTCACAGGCCTCCAGTCTGAGAAAAAACTTTCAACCATCACCCTCTGCTTCCTACCATTGAACCAATTTTGAATCCAATTAGCTAGCTCTCCCTGAACCCCATTCAACCTAACCTTTATGACTAGCTTGTCGTGTGGGATCTTGTCAAAGGCCTTACTAAAGTCCATATAGACAACATCCACTGCCCTACCCTCATCTATCCTCTTGGTTCCTTCGTCAAAAAACTCTAAAAGGTTTGTCAGATATGACTTCCCATGCACAAATTCCTGCTGACGATCCCTAATCAGTACTTGACTATCCAAATGTCAGTTGTTCATATCCCTCAGTATCCACTCCAATAACTTGCGTACCACTGATGTCAGGCTCACTGGCCCATAGTTCCCTGGCTTGTCTTTGCTACCTTTCTTAAACAATGGAACAAAATTAGCCACCCTCCAGTCTTCTGGAACTTCACCAGTGGCTAAAGATGAAGCAAAAATCTCTGCAAGTGCCTCTGCAATTGCTTCCCTAGCCTCCCACGATGTCCAAGGATAGAGTTGATCAGGCCCAGGGGATTTATCCACCTTAATTTGATCTAAGGCTGCAAACACCTCCTCTCTGGTAATACATATGCGGTCCAAAAACATCCCCACTTGTTTCCCTTATTTCCTTAGCATCCCTGATTCTATCCTCAGTAAACACTGAGGAGAAATATTCATTAAAAATCTCCCCCATCTCCTGTGGCTCCACACACAGACAGCCATGCTAATCTTCAAGGGGACCTATTCTCTCCGTAGTTACTCTTTTACTCTTAATATAGCTGTAGAACCTCTTGGGATTATCTTCAACCTTACCTTCCAGATCCAAGGTAAGGTCAATGCATATGTTCCAATGAGGTTCTCCCAGTTCCTCTGTCTGTTGCAAATGTTCCGATGAGGCAAACTTTGACAAGGGAGCCTATGAAATGTCCACCTTCTTCCTCGACCGAGGATTCCCCAGCACTGTTGTCAACAGGGCCCTCAACTGGGTCTGACCCATCTCCCGCACATCCGCCCTCACTCCTCTCTTCCCTCCCGTAACAGTGATACGGTTCCCCTTGTCCTTACCTACCATCCCACCAGCATCCACATCGAGAAGATCCAGATGCCATTTCCATCACCTCCAGCAAGATGCCACCACCAGACACATATACCCCTCCCTTCCCTTGTCTGCCTTCTGTAGGAACTGTTCCCTCTGGGGCACCCTGGTCCACACTTCCTTCACTCCCAACATCCCCCCCCACAGCCCCACAGCATCTTCCCCTGCAACCACTGAAGGTTTAACACCTGCCTATTTACCATCTTCCTCCCCATTATTCAAGGGCCCAAATGCACCTCCCAGGTGAAGCAGTGCTTTATGTGCACTGCCCACAATTTAGTCTACTGCATTTGCTGCTCACAATGTGTTCTCCTCTACATTGGGGAAACAAAGCATAGACTGGGTGACCGATTTGCAGAACATCTACGTTCTGCCTGCAAAAATGACCCTGAGCTTCCAGATGCCTGCCACTTTAACACAACACCCTGTTTCCTGGCCAACATCTCTGTCTCTGCCTTGTTGCAGTATTCCAGTGAAGCTCAGCGCAAGCTGGAAGCACAACATCTCATTTTCCACTTGGGGGACCCTGCAGCCCTCCGCACTCAATATCGAGTTCAATAATTTTGGGGTCTGAAGTGTCCCAAGTCCTAGCCCCCTTCCCCACACATCAGGCCTTGTTTTCACATAGTCTGCCATTACACACTACCTATTGTTAGCCACTAACAGTCTTCATTAACAGCTATTCACCCAAAACGTTAACACTGATTTCTCTTCACAGATGCTGCCAGATCTGCTGAGCTTTTCCAGCAACTTCTGTTTTTGTTTCTGAAGTCCTGGGGTTTATGGGTTAAACCACCACCTCCACCTCCCCACCAAACCCCTCCCCCACCCTAAGCCCACCTCCACAACTGTTTGTGGAATTTAAAATATGTGAATAAAAATTTGGAATTTTAAAATAGTCTTTGGAAGAGTAACAATTAAGTCATCATCAATTGTTTCCAAATTCCACTTGGTTAATTAATGTTCTTTAGGGATACCTACATTCTGTAGAAGAATCAGAAGAAAACAGTATTCTCACAAGTATGAGGAAAAATATAGTTTATGAAAATATTCTGTTATGGAATCAACGCCATTTCTCCATTTAACACTTCCATAAATTACAAAGGAAGGATTTAACAACAAATAACCTTGGAAGAACTTAAACCCTTAAAATATAAGCAGAAATGAATAATAGAATCCCTACAGTGTGGAAACAGGCCATTCGGCTCAACGAGTCCACACCAACCCTCCAGAGAACATCCCACCCAGACTCACCAACCCCCCACCCTATCCCTGTAACCTTGCATTTCCCATGGCTAATCCATTTAGCCTACATATCCCTGGACACAACGGGCAATTCAGCATGGCCAATCCATCTAACCTGCACATCTTTGGATGGTGGAAGGAAACTGGAGCACCCAGAAGAAACCCACGCAGACATGGGGAGAATATGCAACCTGCACACAGACAGTCACCCAAGACTGGAATTGAACCCAGATCCGTGGTGCTACTTGTTTGTTTAAACTCTATGCACGGAATCTTTCCGATGACTGATTAGAGACTACTTTTTCTTAAGGACATTGTGTGTTTGAGGCCAATGTAAAGACACTTGCTGGTGCTGGAAGTCTTTTAATAAAGTGAAAATGATAGGGTTTCTGTTTTTAATGCCTGTTTTTAGGCTAATTTGGCAGTACAAGAAAACCGCCTCCAACGGGCCATGAAGGAGTTGGGAAGTGCCCAGGCACAGCTGGATGAGAAGCAAGCTGAGCTCGACAAGGTACAGGCCAAGTTTGATGCTGCCATGAAGGAGAAAATGGTGAGTCACAATCTAAAGGACTTCTAGCTGATTGATCAGTACATTCTTCATATTCAAGCCAATTACTACCTGAAATCATAATGACTGATATTCAGTTTTAGGTATTTTTGTGAAAAATATTTCCCTCTATGATGCTTAAACTGTGACAAAGTCTGATCGATATATGCCATATTCCAGCATAATAAAACCAAGCAAAGTCAACCTTGATGTGGTAGATGCCAAGATTAAAACACTCAGGGCTGAATATTAATATTTGGACCCTGATGAAGAAGGGTTTAACAGCAAGGCCTCAGGAACTTGAAACATCACAGAGCAGGTTTTTGACAATAGATCTTTAGGTGAAACCTAACTTTTCTGCTTATTGGAGCATGATAATGATCTGTCTTGACTGTCCAAGCATTGACATTTAAAGGAGCCTTTCTTTTTTGAGGGACAATCAATGACAGCTTAGTTCAGTCATTCACCTCAAAAAAAAAGCTCCTTTAAATACCAAGGAGTGAGCAATCAGGGGCAGGTCATTAAAATTTCCTAGCTGCCCTTGGAAAGGTAGGCCAGCTGCCTTCTTGAACCACTGCAGTCATAGGTTGACAAACAGTGAGAAATGAAATCCAAGATGGCAGTGGAGCAGGGCTCCTGAGCCCACGGCTCGTCTGCTCTACCTGCTTTTGTTTTCTTTCCTTTCTTTTCTCTTTTCTTGTTTTTGTTTCTCTTCACTTATCTTTTGTGAAAAGCTCAGTCACGGTGAAGGCATCAACAGTGGCACTGGCAGTGAGATGAGCCAAGCGCAGACTTGGCATCTCAGTTCCCGGCAGCTTCTGCATCAACAAGGCAGGCCAGAGTGGACTCTTGACAGTAGTAGCAGAGTCAAGTTTGGGTTGGTGCAGGAGCCAGTGGCATCGGTAGCAGTTGCATTGGCAAGGTACAGCAAGGACTCACGGTGGCAGCAGCATCGATGGAAGCAAGATAGCGTCAAAGACTGGCAACTCTTACTCTGCGAGGGGACTTGTGGCTAGTCGCTCCAGGCCCATAGTTGAGCACTTAACAAGAAGGACTACAATGTTGAACTTTATTTCTTTATTTTTCTGCCTTTATATTCTATGTTTTGTTTTATTTTTTGTGTTTTTAAGATGGCGCCGGAGAGTGGTGACACTACAACACTTTTCACTGTTTTTTGTAACAAAGTACACATAACAATAAATAAATCAAATCATTCAATCAAATCAGATCTGATCCCAGAGCCATTATCCAGAAGGACAACTGTGTTGTGCCCTATTTCAGCATTAAGCTTATGCAGTGAGCAAATGACACAAGACCCTATTCGCGAGGGGCCGACCTTATAGTACATGAAACTGTAGAAATCCCAATGTGTGTACCTGCCTAGTGAAGGCATAGACAACATCCTACAAGTTTCAGTTGACCAGAAATTCAACTGAATTTGCCATATAAATACAGTGGCTACAAGACCATGTCAGAAGCTGAGAATACTGTGTCAAATAACTCACCTCCTGACTCTCCAAAGCTTGTCCACCACTGTTAGATCTCATACTTTCCAATGAGAGTCTGAGATGTGGGGTGGTTTCAAGTAACCTTTATTGCAATTTATAGCTTCATATTTCCAGAGCAATAAGACACACAAAAAGCTCCAGAATATCTTAACTTTGAACTTAGAGCTCACATGCCCCACTTTGTTTACTATTGATCAGCTGCACTGAGTTATCTCTTTGTAATTGACTCTCTGGTACAGCATTTTATATAGTTCAAGCTTGCCTCAGTAATTTCAATTTATTTCCAATTAAGCTAATCATATCACTGAAGGACAAAGAGATGAACAGGCCTATGGTCTCCCCTGGACCTTCATGATGTTTCCCAGATACTCTTATCTCCCTTCTTGAAACTTTTCACAATAGTTATTGTACTCAGGTAAAATTTGCCAGCTGCACTGAGTTAACTGCCAATAAATTGGATACTTGCCTATCAGTTGAGGACCTTTCAAATTTCTCATTATAGGAAATATAAAAGAATATTGATTTTTGATCAGTTCAAACAAAGATATATGGTTACACCTAATGTTAGAATTCTTTAGCTAACAAGTTGTGTCTTAATGTCTTCATTCAATCTAAATTCCAGTGTCTGTTAATTTCTGTACCTATGATTCATTTCTCTATGTATTGACACGAGGGGCTGCATTTACGGTCTGAAACTGGTTTGAATCTTTTCCTCTAATGCTTTTAGTGTTTTTTTGTATATAGGTGGATCTATAACCCTACTTCAAAATCTATGTCTATGATTATTTGAAGGATCTTAACTAAAACCTACACTTAATATTGTAACAGATTGATTAAATAATTCAAGAGAAACAACTAATTAGTGTGAAATGTTCTTGTCTATATCTTAAGCATAAGCAACTGCAACTGCACGTTCTATGCCAGTCCAGTAACCTTGAGTCTACACAGCTACTATTGTTCTACTCGTGAAGCTACATTAAGCAAATATTTTCCCAAGATCACTAACTACCGTCAGCCATATTCTCCTGTGTTTGCCCAATGGGCAGCCGGCAGCCATTTTGTGCTGCTCAGTCATGGGTATTCCTAACAACCACCAACAAAGCACAAGTCAGGAGTGTGATGGGATACTCCCAATTAGCCTGGATCAGTGCAGTTCCAGCAACACTCAGAAAGTTGATACCATCCAGGACAAAGCTGCCAACTTGACTGGCACTCCCTCCACAACATCCACTCGCTCCATCACCGACACTCAGCTGCAGCAGTGTGTACTATGTTCAAGATGCACTGCAGAAATTCACTAAAGATCCTTAGACAGCATCTTCAAAACACACGACCACTTCCATCTAGAAGGACAAAGGCAGTAGATACTTGAAAACATCACCACCTGCAATTACCCCTCCAAGCCACTCACCATCTTGACTTGGAAAAATGTGGTTGTTGCTTCACTGGTAGTGGATCACAATCCTGGAATTCTGAGGTTGTTGACTTGCTCGCTGAGCTGGCTTGTATTCGTTCAAACATTTCATCACCATGCTAGGTGATATCATCAGTGGAGCCTCCGATGAAGTGATGTTATTCTACTCCTCTTGGAATTTATTTATATGTGGCTCATTATGATGAAATGTATGGATTTGTATATGGATCAAACGTGGTGGGTGGTGTTCCCACATGTGAGTATCTCACACTCACACACACACTCTTTCTCACACACACATACATTCTGTCTCTCGCGCGCACACACACACACAGATGCACATTCTCTCTCTCCCTCACACATACACACACAGACACACACCCACACACACACAGACACACACTCTCTCTCTCCCTCACACACACACACACACACACACACACACACACACTCTCTCTCTCACTTACCGGCACACACACACACACACTCTCTCTCTCTGTCTCTGTCTCTCGCACTTACGCACACTCTCCCCCACCCTCTCTCTCGCTCACACACACACTCACTCCCTCTCTCTTGCACACATACACACACTCTCTCTCTCCCACCCTCTGTCTCTCTCACACACACATTCTCTCTCTCTCCCACTCTCACACACACATACATGCACGCACACACATATAAATCTATGAGGTGAATTTGCATTTGCAGGTTTGTAATTGCAGATACATTCTATTTTGTTCAAAAAGCACACAATTTATAGACAGTCAATGTGGCATTTTATAAATTCCTACTTTGGAAATAAAACCAGTCTGACTCCAAGTTAAAACACAGCCAGATTCTAAACAAGGCCTCACACCTAAAATGCATTGTCTGACCTGAGATGTCACCTCTGATATACTGATAAAACTTTTAGTTATCTTGGGGCAGTGACTTGAAAGAAATTCTAGATTTGCATATTAATCAGTTGAAGCCTGTGTCTCCTTTATCACTGATTAAAGATTTAACAGCCATCTTAGGTTTTTTCAATACACTCACATCAGTTCTATGACCCTTTGATCTTTTGCTTATAAATTCTGTGTCTGATGCTACCTCTCTCACTGACACTGGAAGAAGGAGTGAGACTTCAAAAGTTTTTGTCTTCAAATAAACCTGTTGGACTATAACCTGGTGTCGTGTGATTTTTTTACTTTTATACATAGTGGCAGAGATTATGTTGAACCTGTTCAAGACCCTAGTTACACCTCAACTAAATTATTATGCACAGTTCTGGGCACCATAATTTAGGAAAGATATGAACAGATTGTAGAAGATGTTTACGAGACTGATTCCAGAGCTAAAGAACTGATAGCAGTTGGAAATGTTTTTCTTTGCACAGGAGAAGGCTGAGAAGACATTTGATATTTGACATGTTTTCAAAACCAGGACTAGTCTGGACAGAGTAGATAGGGATAAATTATTTCCACTTGCATAAAGTTTCAAATCAAGGAGCACATGTTTCAAAAAATTTGCAAAAGAATCAAATGGTTCAGGTCTGGAATGGTCTGTGTAGAGGTGTGGTGGCGAGATGTTTAATCAATCCAGTTATTAGAATGGAAATAAAATGCAGGGTTCCAGGAAAAAGCCAGGAACATGGAACTAAGTCATAATGCTCATTCAGCAAGCTGGTGCAGATGTGATGGGCTGAATGGTCACCTTCTGGACAATAACAGTTCAGAGTATAAATGTGAGAATGCTATTAGAGTTGTACAGGGCATTGGTGTGACCACATCTGGAGTACTATGTACAGTTTTGATCTCCTTCCTCAAGAAAGAATATAATTGCACTCAAAGAAGTTCAGAGAAGATTAATACAAATGATTCCTGGGAAGTAATACTGATCTTATGAGCTAAGATTACATATGTTTGAGCTATATCAATTGGAGTTTGGCAAAACAAGAGGTAAACTTATTGAAATGTAAGACATGACAGAGGGAATGAATCCCTGTCATGGGAGAGACTAGAGAACACACATTAAAAATAAAGGGTTTCATGTTGAAGTCAGAGATGAGGAAAAGTGTTATTCTCTCAAGGATCATGAATCTGCGGAATTATCTTCCCCAGAGAACAGTGGGGGAAAGTAATTATATATTTTTAAGGCTTGGTTAGATAAATTCTTTAATAATAAAGGAATCAAGTTTACAGAGGTTGGAGAGAGAGACGTAGGGTTGAGGCTCTAACCTGATCGGCCATGATCTTCTCAAATGAAGGAGCAGGCTTGTGGGGCCAAATGGCCTCTTCCTCCTCCTCTTAGTGTGTCTAATTGTCTAGTTATAAAAAAAGACATGAGGAAGTTTGGCAAACAATTCCAGAGATTAGGGCCCAGGTAATTGGGCAGACAGTGGAGATACACCAGAAAGTTAGAATAAGGGAAGAGCAAAGGTCTTGGAGAGGTGTTTTCCTGGTAAAGGTTACAGAGATAGGGAGAGGTTTCATCACTGAAGCCAAAACAGAAATAGGGAACTTTTAGTACTCCTAAAGTTTTCAAAGGTTGACTTTATCTGGTGTTCGTCTGATGAGGGCTTTGGTGAAGGATTAAAAACCCCCACAGAAATTCAAGTCAGGCATGTGGAGATGAAATCCAGACAATTAAGTAGCCATAATTCAATTGAACCTGTTGTTTATTGTTTAGGACCTATTGGAAGATGCAGAAACATGTCGAAGGAAGATGGAAGCTGCATCAGCACTGATTGATGGCCTGAGCGGGGAGAAAATCAGGTGGACAGAACAATGCAAGGAGTTTAAAGCACAAATCAACAGGCAAGAGATAGCTACTAGCTGTCAGTAATATTGAAGATTCCAGAACCCTGATTTAAAGACTGCCCAATAGAGTCAGATTAAATGCAATAAAATAGCACATCTCGAATTTCTGGCACTCTCCCACCAAAGCCAAGTTACAAAACCAAATTCTTCCAGAACAGTGAGACTTGGGACTTCATGAATAATGTCAAACCAGAATTCTATAATGTGGCGGAAATCCAGCACTGATGTGAAGTGAAAATCACCATTGTCCCAGAGGCTGCTCTCTCACGAGAGAATGATGGCTGATTTAACCTGAGGGTCACCATTACTCAGGCAAGGTTGAGAAGGCAGGGCCTTCATGTGATCTCTGCCAGTTTGGGGTATTGAACCCATGCTGTTAGCATTACTCTGCATCACAAACCAGCCATCCAGCCAACTCAACAAACTGACCCTAAATTCCAGGCAAAATTTGAAACTGTTTCCAAGTCTCCCCTTCATTTTGATCTGTCTTTCTCTTTCTGTTCCTTTTTCTAATTCTCTCACTTGTTTTCCTTCTCCTGCTTTGGTCTTTGAATCAGAGTTCCAGGTGATCATTTTTGATTCCAATGGCAACATCCTCATGATCGAGAATAAAGCAATGTTTTCGAATAGTTGTGAGGCCCTCAGGGTAGTCCTGAATAACCTCTTATGGCCACAGATTTTGTTATGAACCTTTCAGGGCACTCTGAGCTTTCTGTCCTTGCTTGATGTGCTCTGGGAAGGGCTCCCCTACACCCCTCCCTGGGCAATGTGCCAGCTAGAGAAGGCTGGATACTGTGGTGCGGGTAACATGGGCACCACTCAGCTGAAGACCAGGTTAAGGTCTAGGAGTTGCACTGCGGGTCACTTATGCATAGAACATAGAACAGTCCAGCACAGTACAAGCCCTTTGGCCCACGATGTTGTGCCGACTTATTGTCCTACTCTAAAATCAAACTACCCTGCATACTCTACTTGTTACTATTGTCCATGTGCCTATCCAAGAGTTGCTAAAAATTCTCTAAAGTATCTGACTCCACTACCACTGCTGGCTGCACATTCCACACACCCACCACTCTGTGTGTGAAGAACCTACCTCTGACATCTCCCCTATACCTTCCTCCAATCACCTTAAAATTATGCCCCCTCATAGTAGTCATTTCCGCCCTGGGAGTCTCTGGCTATCCACTCTATCTATGCCTCATCATCTTATACACATCTATCAAGTCACCTCTCATTCTTCTTTGCTCCAATGAGAAAAGCCCTAGCTCCCTCAACCTTTCGTCATAAGACCTGCCCTCCAGTCCAGGCAGCATCCTGGTAAATCTCCTCTGCACCCTCTCTAAAGTTTCTACATCCCTCTATAATGAGGCGACCAGAACTGAACACAATATTCCAAGTGTGGTCTAACCAGGGTTTCATAGAGCTGCAGCATAACCTCATGGCTCTTAAACTCAATTCCCCTGCCAATGAAAGCCAACACACCATATGCCTTCTTAATAACCCTATCAACTTGGGTAGCAACTTTGAGGGATCCATGGACGTGGACTCCAAGATCCCTCTGTTCTTCCACACTGCCAAGAATCCTGCCATTAACCCTGTATCCTGCATTCAAATTTGACCTTCCAAAATGAATCACTTCACATTTTTCCAGATTGAATTCCATCTGTCGCTTCTTTGCCCAGCTCTGCATCCTGTCAATGTCCCGTTGCAACCTACAACAGCCCTCCACACTATCCACAACTCCACCAACCTTCGTGTCATCGGCAAATTTACTAACCCACCCTTCCACTTCCTCATCCAAGTTATTTATAAAGATCACAAAGAGCAGAGGTCCCAGAACAGATCCCTGCGGAACACCACTTGTCACCGAGCTCCTGACTCCACAAATCCTGTCCACCATCTACAAAGCACAAGTCAGGAGTGTGATGGAATACTCTCCACTTGCCTGGATGAGTGTAGGTCCAACATCACACAAGGCATTTGGCACCATATCCCCAAGCGTCCACTCCCTCCTCAACCAATGCTCAGTAGCAGCAGTGTGTACTATCTACAAGATGCACTGCAGAAATTCACCAAAGATCCTTAGACAGCATGTTACAAACCCACAGCTATTCTGCATTTCTGGAGAAGCTAGGTCCAAAGCACCTGGCTAGAAATATGGAACAACGTTGTGGAGGGGACAGGGTTCAAGTGGAGCAATGCTCCAATGATAGCAGCCACTCCATGGAGGTTCAAAGCCATTAATTCCACAGACGTTGTCAAAACTGTTGAGTATTTAGATCATTTTCTCTTTACAGTCTATTTTTGATGTCAAGATTCTGGAGAATTGTGTTTTTACTCATATACATCTTGCCTGCTCCTGTGTCTCCTTTTACTCTATCCCAACTATTTACCTTACCATCGAGGGGCATTCCCCTGAGTTCTCATAATGTTCTCCAATCATCCAAAATTCCACTATCGCTAACGTTCCCAACTGACCTCTGTAGGCAGGAGTCTGTCAGACTGGACAATTTGTCCCAGAGAGTGGATGCCAAAATCTCAGAAGAAATGGCCGATGTATGTTTGGTCCACAAAATTCCAGTGTCCCAGCTACTGTGGTTTGCATCATAAACCATTTTTGAGGACATGTTCCAAAAAAAAGACAGAGGGATCTTGGAATGCTAACTCTTTTACTCTCCACAGATATTGAATGTAATGTTTTTAAAGTTTAGGCTGGTTAGGCATGGTCAGTATAATTAGATATTGTTATACATTATATTGTATCATTGTATATTATTATAATTATTGGTGTTTGATATGATCTCCTAGTCTTTGGGAGGTGTGCCCTCCATTCCTGAAATTCATATGCCACATTGCTTATTTGTGTATTAGGCAGGATGTATTTTTACCTTGATAACAACATCCTCTCAACAGTCAGAGGGAAATTGAGGAATAAATATCTTGAAAGATCTCAGATATTTGTAAGAATGATAAGGTTTAATAATGGGGGTTTTTAATTTTCCAAACATTGACTGGGACCACCATTGTGTTAAAGGTTTGAACGGTGAAGAATTTGATAAATGTATTCAAGAAAATTTTCTTAATCAATATGTAAATTTTCCGACTAGAGAAGGAAGAAAACTTGTCTTTCTCTTGTGTAATAAGGCACAGCGAGTGACTGAAGTGATAGCAGAGGAACACTTTGAGACTAGTGATCAGAAAGCTATTTGTTTTAAAATGGTTATGGAAAAGAATAAGCCTTCCATAAAAATTAAAGGTTTTAATTGGGCTAAGGCAAATTTTAATAGTATGACAAGAACTTTCAAAAATTGATTGGAGTAGACTGTTTGCAAGTAAAGGGACGTCTGATAAGTAGGAGGCTTTCAAAAGTCTGATAACAAGAGTTCAGATTTGCATCGGCGCAGTCACCACTACCAAACAGGGGTTTGAGGAGGAAGTTTGTCAAGGGATACTGTTAAGGGGAATGACCTCTCAGGGGAAAGCAGCAGCAGCAGCAGCAGTCAATCTTGTTGCACCACGGTTGGTTCTACTGGGGGGAGGGTAAACAGTGTGCCAGGGCAATAGTTATAGGGGACTCAATTGTAAGGGGAATAGACAGGCGCTTCTATGGCTGCAAACAAGACTCCAGGATATTGCCTCTCTGGTGCTAGGGTCAAATATATCTTGGAGCAGGTACAGGACATTCTGAAGGGGGAGGGTGAACAACAGTGGCCATGGTACACATTGGTACAAATGACATAGGTAAAAAAAAGGACAAGATCCTAAAGGCAGAATACAGGGAGCTAGGAAGAAAGTTAAGAAATCTCAAAGGTAGTGATCTCAGGATTACGACCAGTGCCACATGCTAGTCAGAGGAGAAATGGCAGGATAAATATGTGGCTGCAAAGTAGGTGTTGGGGGACAGTTTCAGATTCCTGGGGCATTGGGACCAGTACAAATTGGACAGGTTACACCTGGGCAGGGCTGGGACTGATGTCCAAGGGGCAGTGTTTGCTAGAGCAGTTGGGGAAGGTTTAAACTAATATGCCGGGGGTTGGGAAACTATGTAAAGAGTTAGACAAGAAGACAGCAAGGACAAAAACAAAAGCTAGAAAAGGGAATGAGATAAGTGATAGGCTGAGAAACCAAGGACAAGATTCAAACAGGGCTGTTGAAAAAATAAGGAGGAGACAAACACTATTAAGAGGACAAGCTTAAAAGTTTTGTGCCTTAATGCACAGAGCATTTGCAATAAAGTGGATGAACTAATTGTGCAGACAGATGTAAACTGGTAAAATATAATTGGGATTACTGAGACTTGGCTGCAAGGTGACCAGGGATGTGAACTGAATATCCCAGGGATTTAGGAAGGACAGGCAAAAAGGAAAAGGTGGTGGAGTAACATTGCTGGTTGAAGAGGAAATTAACACAATAGTGAGAAAAGATATTAGCTCTGACAATGTGGAGTCTGTATGGGTGGAGTTGAGAAATATCAAGGGGCAAAAAACATTAGTGGGTGTCATATATAGACCCCCAAACTGTAGAGGTGCTGTCGAGAATGGCATTAACAGGAAATTAGAGATGCATGTAATAAGGGAATATCAGTGATCATGAGTGATTTTAATTTGCACATTGTTTGGGCAAATCAAATTAGCCACAGTGCCATAGAGGAAGAATTCTTGGAGCGTATACAGGATGGTTTTCTTGACCAATATGTGGAGGAACCAACTAGAGAGCAGGCCATTTTACAGGTGCTCTGTAATGAGAAGGGAATCATTGCCAGTCTAGCTGTGCGAGACCCCGTGTGGATGAGCGGTCATAACATGATAGAATTTTTTATCAAGATGGAGAGTGAGGTAGTTGTTTCAGAGTCTCGCGTGCTAAACTTTAATAAAGGAAACTATGAGGATATGAGGCGTGAGTGGGCCTTGATAGATTGGGGAGAGTTACTTAAAGGGATGGCAGTGGATAAGCAATGGCAAACATTCAAGGAATGCAGGGGGGAACTGCAACAACTGCTTATTCCTGTCTGTTGCAAAAGCAAAATGGGTAAGAAGGCTAATCCATGGCTTACAAAGGAAATTAGACATAGTATCAGATCCAAGGAAGAAGCAAACAGATTGGCCAAGAAAAATAATAAATTTGAGGATTGGGAGCAATTTAGAATTCAGCAAAGAAGGACCAAGGGATTGATTAAGAAGGGGAAAATAGGGTAGGAAAGTAATCTTGCAGGGAACATAAAGACTAACGAGAAGAGTTTCTATGGATATGTGAAGAGAAAGAGATTGGTAAAGACAAATGTAGGTCCCCTGCAGACAGAAATGGGGGAATGTGTAATAGGGATCAAGGAAATGGCTGAGGATCTGAATACATACTTTGTTTCTGTCTTCACAAAAGACAACGCAGATCAGATACCAGAATGGTTCGATGAGGCAAGATTTAGTGAGAAGGAAGATCTAAGGGAGATCAATATTAGTAGAGAAATGGTGCTGGGAAAGTTGTTGGGATTGAAGGCTGATAAACCCCCAGGGCCTGATAATCTACATCCCAGAGTATTTAAGGAAATAGCTTCAGAAATAGTGGATACATTGATGGTCATCTTCCAGGATTCTGTAGACTCTGGAACAGTCCCTGCAGATTGGAGGGTGGTTAATGTCACTCCAATATTCAAAAAGGGAGGTAAAGAGAAATCAAGGAATTATAGACTGGTAAGCCTAACACCAGGAGTGGGGAAAATTCTTGAATCCATTGTCAAGGATTTCATGGCAGAGCATTTAGAAAGCAGTAGCAGGATCAGACAGAGTCAGCATGGATTTATGAAAGGGAAATCATGCTTGACAAATCTGTTGGGATTTTATGAAGATGTAACTAGTAGAGTTGTCAAGGGGGATCCAGTCAATGTGGTATATTTTGACTTTCAGCAAGCATTTGACAAAGTCCCACATAAGAGATTAATGTGCAAGATTAAAGTGCATGAGATTGGGGGAAGTGTATTGAAATGGACAGGAAACTGGTTGGCAGAGAGGAAACAAAGAGTACAAATTAATGTTTCAGAGATAGTAGGAACTGCAGATGCTGGAGAATCTGAGATAACAAGGTGTAGGGCTGGATGAACACAGCAGGCCAAGCAGCATCAGAGAAGCAGGAAAGCTGACGTTTCGGGCCTAGAATGGTCTGGACCCGAAATGTTAGCTTTCCTGCTCCTATGATGCTGCTTGGCCTGCTGTGTTCATCCAGCTCTACACCTTGTTATCTCAGTACAAATTAATGGGTCCTTTTCAAATTGGCAGGCAGTAACTAGTGGGATGCCACAGGGATCAGTGTTGTTCACAATATACGTTAATGATTTGGATGAGGGAACAAAATGTAACATCACCAAGTTTGCAGATGATACCAAGTTGGGTAGGGGGCGTGTGAACTGTGACAAGAATGCAGAGATCCAACTCATGATATGAACAGGTTGGGTGAGTGGGCAAATCAATGGCAGATGCAGTATAATTTGGATAAATGTGAGGTTATTCACTTCAGAAGCAAGACCAAAAAGGCAGATTACTACCTGAATGGCTGTAAATCTGGATAGGTGAATGTGTAGCAGGACCTGGGTGTCCTTGTGTACCAGTCGCGAAGGTAAGCACGCAGGTACAGCAGGCAGTAAAGAAGGCAAATGGTATGTTGGCCATCATTGTGAGAGGTTTTGAGTACAGAAGCAGGGATGTGTTGTTGCAGTTATACAGGGCTTTGGTGAGACCATACCTGGAATATTGTGTGCAGTTTTGGTCTCCTTTTCTGAGGAAGGATACTCTTGCTCTCAAGAGAGCACAGCGAAGGTTTACCAGGCTGATTCTGGGGATGGCGGGTCTGACGTATGAGGAGAGATTGACTAGGCTGGGATTGCTTTCACTAGAGTGCAGCTGAATGAGGGGGGATCCCACAGAGACTAATAAAATTCTAACAGGTCTTTACAGGGTAGATGCAGGGAGGATATTCCTGATGGTGGGTGTATCCAGAACCAGGGGTTACAGTATGAGGATTTGGGTAGATGATTTAGGATGGAGATGAGACATTTCTTCACCCAAAGAGTGGTGAGCCTGTGGAATTCATTGCCACAGGAAGTAGTGGATGACAAAACATTGAATGTATTCAAGAGGCAACTAGATATAGCACTTGGGGCGAATGGGATCAAAGGTTATGGGAAGAAAGCAGGATTAGGCTATTGAGTTGGACAATCAGCCATGACCAGAAGAATGGCAGAGCAGGCTCGAAAGGCCGAATGGTCTCCTCCTGCTCCTATCCTGTGTTTCAATCTTTCTATGTTCCTGTTAGAGTGGAAGGTAAGACTGGTAGGATTAGAGAACAATGGATGAATAAAGATTTGAGGTTCTAGTCAAGAATAAAAAGGAATCATATATTAGATATAAACAACTGGGTTCAAATCTGTTGAACAATATAAAGAGCTGAGGGGCATTCTTAAGAGGGAGATCAGGAAGGCAATGAGAGGAAACAAGAAAAAAACCCAAAAAAACTGCAGATGCTGGAAATCAGAAACAAAATCAAAAATTGGTGGAAAAGTTCAGCACATCTGGAAGCATCCGTGAAGAGAAATCAAAATTAACCTTTTGGGTCGAGTAACCCTTCTTCAGGCGTTCTGAAAGCATGTCATGTGCAGTTGGTGGGCAAAAGCAAAAGTCCTTGCGCCATGTTTAAAGGCCATGTGGGCATCCAGTCACTCATTGCAAACCAGGAGCAAGATAAGAGTCTCCTACCCTCCTTCAGAAATGGCTGGATCCTGTCAAATTGTTCCTCTTTTAACTCCTCCTCCTTCCTACAGCCTAAGGGGGTGGCCATGGGAGCCCACATGGGCCCAAGCTATGCCTGCCTCTTCGTAGGATATGTGGAACAGTCCCTTTTCCGCTGTTACACAGCACTATCCCCCACCTCTTCCTCCACCACATCAATGACTGTATCAGCACTGCCTCATGCTCCCACGAGGAGCTTGAACAGTTCATCAACTTTACTAACACCTTCCACCCCAACCTCAAACCTGGACCATCTCCAATACCTCCGTCTCCTTCCTCGACTTCTCCGTCTCCATCTCTGGTAACCGCCTCTACACTGACATCTATTTCAAGCCCTCCGACTCCCACAGCTACCTGGACTACACCTCCTCTCACCCACCCTCCTGCAAGAATGCGATCCCCTACTCCCAAATCCTCCGCCTTTGCTGCATCTGCTCCTAAGATGGAGTCTTCAACTCCCGGACATGCCAGATGCCCTCCTATTTCAAGGACTGCAACTCCCCCACTCTGGTGCCCTTGACTGCATCTCTTACATTTCCTGCACTTCTGCCCTCAAACCCCCCCCCCCCCCAACAAAAATAAAAGACAGAATCCCCCTTGTCCTCACATATCCAGCCATTAACGTCCGCATCCAGTGTTTCATCCTTCGCCACTTCCGCCATCTACAATCTGACCCCACCACCAAAGAGAAATTTCTCTCCCCACCCCTATCTGCCTTTCGTAGGGACTGCTCACTCAGCAACTCCCTCATCCGTTTCACACTCCCCGCTGACCCCACCACCCCCGGCACCTTTCCCTGCAACCACAGGAAGTGCTACACTTGCCCCTACAACTCCTGCCTCACCTCCATTCAAGGCCCAAAACAAACCTTTCATATTCGACAGGGGTTCATCTGTCAACTTGGTCTACTATAACCACTGCTCCTGATGTGGTCTCCTCTACAAGTGGAAACCCAGAGAACTTTTCGAAGAGCATATGCACTCTGTACACAACAAACAACAATACCTTCCATTTGCCAACCATTTCAAGTCCCCCTCCCACTCCCTGGGTGGCATGTCTATCCTGGGCCTCCTCCAGTGCCACAATGACGCCACACGCAAATAGGAGGAGCAGCACCTCATATTCCGCTTCGGGAGCCTACAGCCCGATGGCCTAAACATGGAATTCACCAGTTTTAAAATCACCCCACCCCAGCCTCATCCCATGTCCAACCCTCCCTCTCATCCCTGCCTCCTTGACCTGACACAACCTGCCCATCTTCTCTCCCACCTATCCGCCCCTCCCATCTCACTGACCAATCCCCACCATTCCCTACCTGCAATCACCTATCACCACCCCTCCTCTCTGTATTTATTTCCCAGCCCCTTTCCCTTCCCCATTTCTGAAGAAGGGCCCTGACCTGAAACATTAACTTTCCCACTCCTCTGATGCTGCCTGACCTGCTGTGTTCCTCCAGCTCCACACTGTGTTGTCCCTTTCCATGTCTGGTTTGTTGTCCATCAGTCCTGATGAGTGCAAGCCACAAGCTTTGACTTCATGTTGTTGTTTTAATAATCCTTACATTTTGTACTACAAACAATTGACAAAAAATTCCTGCCATTGTCTTTTCTAGGCCCTGCTTCATATCAATATTCCTTTTCACTTTACACTGACATCCTTTACACTGATTTTGTTTAATCTCTTATATTCTAGGTTGGTGGGAGATGTGCTGTTGGCTACTGGCTTTCTTTCGTATAGTGGTCCTTTCAATCAAACATTCAGAGATATATTGCTGAAAGTAATCTGGGAAGTAGAGCTCCAGAAAAAGAAGATTCCATATACGGATAATCTAAACATTATAGCTTTCTTGGTGGACCAGGCTATGGTGAGACTCGCTCAGACTTATGTTATATTAAGTGTTTACTGCACTCATTCTTAAGTGACACACCACAACCTTTGCACACCTTGACAACATATCTTCTCAACTGATAATTTTCTGCCTTAGTTAGATGTTTATTTATAGCTGGTTTTGCACAGTCATCGCATGTATCATTTGCTAATATCTGAAGGAAGTTTTTTTTCAATGGTGAGGCAATCTTTCCATCAACAGAAGTGTTTGATTATTGGTACAACCATGCTCTCATACACAGGTACGTAATTATCAGAAGTGGGGACATAAAATGTAACAAATAACTTTGTTTCCTGTGATTTTAGCTGCACCTGGAATTATTAACGTCTTCTTGGAATCACTTGAACTTACCTCATCACATTCTCAGACAGTGAATTCTAAATCCTAACTATTCATTATGTACAAAAGCTGTTCCTCATTTCACCATTGCTTCCTTTGTCAGTTACCTTAGATATGTGCTCTTTTGTTGTTGATTATTTTTTCCTTTCATTTGTTGACGGTACATGTGCATCCCTGGCAGGATACTAAAACTCCCAGTTATAACCACTTGGTTATGTTAGCATCTCTCTGTAATTTTCCTGCAGGTTTGTTCCCCCATGTCCTTCCCATAGGTTGGTGATCTATAGACTTCCAAGCATTATTTAAGGTTTTAGCAAAGATTCCCAAGCCAAACATAGACACGCATGGGAATTCCTAGAGGCATGGTTCTCAACCTGTAATGCAATCAACAAACATATAGAATTGGACCCCATGTACAAACCCATACAGAACAAAACCAGAAATGACACAACTCACTATAATAGACCAGACAGTATAAATTACAAGTGGAGTAGAACAACGTCACTACATCAGAGGTTCCACTGATGATGTTACTTAGCATGGTGACAAAATGTCTGAACGAAAACAAGCCAGCTCAGCGAGCAAGTCAACAACCTTTCCAAGCAATATAACTGCAGCCCTTTTGTTCTTTAGCTCAAACCAGATTGATCTGTCCTTGAACTCTCTGAGACATCCACCACTGCAATTTACTCCTTAACAAATACTACCACCCCTCCATCTTTCCTTCCTTTTCTATCTTTTCTGAACAGCAATATTTAGCACCCTGTTTTACTCTAGGTCAGTCTCCGTTATCACCGCAATTTCATATTTCTACATGACAATATGCGCCTGCGACTCTCCAGTCTTATTTACTATACTTTATGCATTTACATAATGCAGAGTAGTCCTGATTTTTGACTTCATTACTTTCTCCCTTAACCCAACTTCACCAACCGATTTTCTATGGTCTCCTTACGTTATTTGTCTGTCTAAGTATTGTGCACACTATTCTATTATTGTCTAGTATTCTCTCCTGGTTCCCATACCCTTGTTGGGTTCCTTTTTACATTTGCTGATTGTCTCTTCTCATATTCTCTATTTCCTTTTCTTATGTATATTTTCACTACTTCTGTGTGCCTTCTAAACTCAATGTTACTCCTGCTTGTATTGCCCATCTCACCTCTTTTTCACCTCACATTTTTCTTCATTTTAATCTTTATCTCTTTTATCATCTAGTGAACTCTGAATTTGTTTGCGCTGCCATACCTTTATGAGGAAAGACCATTATATGTGCCCAAACTGCATCCACTCCAATGGCAGCCTGTTATTCAGATACTGTTTTGTCTGCAAACCTTTCATTCCAATTGATCTGAGCCAGATGCATTACCACTCATTAATTTTAGCTTTCTCCCCAGATTTCCTTGAATTATTGCTTTACAATGAGGAAGGGTCACCAGACCCGAAACGTTAACTCTGTTTTCTCCTCCACAGATGCTGCCAGACCTGCTGAGCTTTTCCAGCAACTTTGTTTTTGTTCCTGATTTACAGCATCCGCAGTTCTTTTGGTTTTTATTGCTTTACAATAACCCAGTTGAACTATATAATTTATGATCGCAGCCTCCTACATATGTTTTGCAGACGTCCAATTGATTTGGCCCATCTCCTCAAAACATATTGAATCACAGCGGAAAATGATCATATTCAATGGGCTGCTTAAGAAGAAGAATGCTGACAAGACTATTTATTTTGTCCATTAAATGTCAACTATGTAATGAGAACTTGAAGTCACTTTAGGCCAGACCGTGTGGTGTGGAAAATTATATCTGTCACTTGAAGGATGTTTCACAACGTTTTACAACAATTTTATAAATGTTTGCAACAATTCAGTAGCTTGCTTGTCATTTTATTCTGCAGATACTAGGTTAATGGATTTCAGTTTAGCCCCTTACACGTGGAAGAATCTCTAGACTGCTGCTTCGGTACTATAATTACTGGGCTGCTTGCTACAATTAACTACATTGCAGTGCCTAATACCGTCTTTTCCAAAATAATTTTGGCATGGTCCTTAGTATTCATTAAAGGAACAGTATTTGTGGCCAGACTTATTTAAAATAATGTCCTTTTTAATTCTGTGCAATTTTAAAACTTCTCAGATTGGTGAGTGGAACCTGCAAGGATTACCAAGTGATGACCTATCAGTTCAGAATGGCATCATTGTTACCAAAGCAACAAGGTATCCACTTCTCATTGACCCTCAAACACAGGGTAAAACCTGGATTAAGAGGAAGGAGAAAGATAATGAACTACAGGTAGGAATGAACAGATGTTTTCAACATGTATTCAGTACATGAAGCAGTATACTGATCATGAACATAAAATAATTGACTACCACAAATCAATGTCACATTATTTTCTCCAATTTTCTTTCCTTCCCTGCTGAAGGCTTTGACTCCATAGAAACATTATCCAAGTGGTCACTATTCACAAATAAATCACAACATTGAATGTCAACAAATTAATGGTCTGGGGAGCTCAATTCTCTCTCCATTCAGTACCTACACATGACCAGTTTCAGAGGAATTTTCTAGATGATGATAAAGAATGAGGCTTTCTCTTCATGATCTGGAGAATGGAGCCTTATTTTAATACCTCTTTAAGCTTTGAATATTTGGTCAACTAATGAGAACAATCCTTGAATTAAACCTTAGCTTTGTCTATATCGCTTCGCTATGTGAGTGCCAGCTCACCTAGTCACCATAATGACCATGGGCTAATTAATTAATAAATTATGGAAATCTAGATAACTGTATTTCCAAGCTCTGAAGGTGCATAGCAATGAAAATTCAGAAACATAATGTTTTAGGTAGTATACTGAAAGGTTAAATATCAATTTCTGAAAGTAAAGTTAGATTTTAATAGTTATTATTCTGGTTAGCAATGTAATAATCTTAAATAATATTTTAGAATATCTCTGAAAGAATTATTAAGACCTGGTAGTGATTTTGACCTGCTTGTGTATTTTTCTCATCTGAAAAATGAACAGCTATCAATAGACTGCCCTATTAATGCCACCCCTACTCAATTAAATTTTCAGATATGTCCAACAAGGTTTGGCTATCTGCCTTAAAAGACATAAGCATTCTTAAATATGTTACAATCTTCTATCCACATGACAGATTGTAGAGATGTAACAGTGTTGCAGTCAATGCATTTGAAGCATGAGGAGAGTGGAGTCTGAACTACAAACATTAATTCCTTTTGTTATAAAGGTAACATCACTTAACCACAAGTATTTCCGGAATCACCTGGAGGATTCTCTATCACTTGGACGCCCTCTGCTATTGGAAGATGTGCAAGAAGAATTGGATCCTGCACTGGACAATGTGTTGGAGAAAAATTTCATCAAATCTGGGACCTCCTTTAAGGTGAGCTGATTTAGTGAAGGTATGCCATTACCATCAGCATCATTGCAGGCAATCACATCCAACTTCTTCCAGTTTGATTTTTTCATTATGCAATTCAAATCAATTCAATGGACCTTCCCTCAATAATAAGGTCAGAAGTGAGGATGTTTACTGATGACTGCAGTGTTCAACACCATTCATGATTTCTTCAGATACTGAAGCAATCCATGTCCAAATGTAACAAGATCTGGACAATATCCACCTTCAGGCTGACAAGTGGCATATAACATTCATAAAAACAGAAAATAGGAACAAGAGTAGGCCATTCAGCCCTTCAAGCCGGCTCCGCCATTCATTGTGATCTTAGTTGATCATCTAACTCATTAGCCTGCTCCTGCTTTTCCCCCTTTATCTTTTGATCTCTTTAGCCCCAGGTGGTGCATCCATCTCTTTCTTGACATTATACAATGATTTGGCCTTAACTGCTTTCTGTGGTAATGAATTTCACATGCTCAGCACACTCTGAGTGAAGATATTTTTCTTCATCTCAGTCCTAGATGGTTTAGCCTGTGCCCTTAGACTGTGGCCCCTAGTTCTGGTCCCCCAACATTGGGAACATCCTTCCTGTCCAGTTTGGGTAGAATTTTATAGATTGGAAACATTATCAAATACCTTCTTAAAATCTAAGGACAATACAGTCACCAGTTCCCCATTATTCTCCAAGATCTGTTTCAACACCAGGGTTTGCTTGAAAGCTAACAAACAGAAAACTGTTCCATTTGTTGCTGCTTTATCTTTGCATGATTTCCCAGTTTTCTGAACTGCTAAACAGAAAATAACAGGTTGACCCCACCTCATTATAATTAACTTCCAATTAATCTCTGCAATCTCTGTCTCACTAAGAACCAGGGCATTTCCTTCCTCAAATCATGAATACAGTACCTTCTCACCACCCCAGCTGATGATGTATTCCAGGTTCCCATTACTCCTTGAAAAAGCAAATGATCTAATATGCAGTCTAGCCCTTTATTTATATTATTAAACTTATGTCCCTGATCCTTTCCCATTTATTACACTAACTTAGTCCATCAACAGTGATTATATATTGGCCTTTATTTTACAGACTTCCATCAGATCATCATTAAGTCTGCTCCACTTTAAAATAAATAGTTAAAGTCCTCTAGCCTTCATGTCTTGGACAGACTTCCTTTCAATCTGTAGTAAGACAGGGAGCTAATCACTGACTTATCATTTTTGGTAGGAAGTGTGGTCTTTAATTCCAATAGGTGTTTGAGGTTGAACTTTCACCAAGAAGTTTGGCAGCTAAATGGAAAAATACATGTCAGGAATTTCAGTGTACAAAGTGGTAACTGGATTTGCAATCTACAGGACCAAGCCAATGTTTTGGAGACATGGGTTTAAATTCCAACATGTTAGATAGTGACATTGGAATTTTTTTGAAATTTTGGAAATAAAAGCTAGTCTAACGACAACCATGTAGATGTTATCAATTATTGTAAAAACCCATCTAGTTCACTATTGTCCTTTCAGAAATAAAATCTGTTTAGCCTGGCCAACATGTGCACCCAGACCAACAGCAATATGGTTGTCTCTTAATCATCTACTCAATGCAAGCTAACTAATCTGGACTACCCCTGAGAAAACTTCTGATAGTTAAGTGGCATAAGATAGCCAGTAATGATACAAGGAAAGTACATTGAAATTCTTCATTAACTTGCATGTCTTCAAAATGGAGATAACAAGGTGTAGAGCTGGATGAACACAGCAGGCCAGGCAGCATCAGAGGAGCAGGAAAGCTGACGTTTTGGATCTGGACCTTTCTTCAGAAATTCTGAAATTCTTGATTTCTGAAGAAGCGTCCAGACCCGAAATGTCAGCTTTCCTGCTCCTCTGATGCTGCCTGGCCTGCTGTGTTCATCCGGGTCAACACCTTGTTATCTCAGATTCTCCAGCATCGGCAGTTCCTACTATCTCTTCAAAATGTAACTGCTTCTTAACTAAGGCAGAGAATGTAACTTATGGAAAATAGCTTTAATTCTAGGTAAAACCTGATCTATGGAATCTGCTAGTCTGTTTTCAGTTTCCGAAGGGAGTCAGCAAGCAATTTTAAGAACATAAAAGCAAAAAGCTTCAGTGTTTATTTTTAATTTTAGGGATATATTTCCTTTCTTGTTTTTGGGTAACTTGTCAAACCACTGAAAATTGATGATGGTATTTTGAGAGCTGCTTCCAGTTGCAACCATGAAAATGTTATTGGTTAATGTTTTAGTTTATTCAGTAGAAACACAACGTCTTTTGCCTGGTCTCTGATGATTTATTTAATAGGTGAGCTTTACAATAAGTCCTACGTTCAAAAGGAAATTGATGTTTATTCCACTTCATAGTCCAGGGCACAAATCATAGGTAGGGAAGGACCTTACACCATGAGGAGAGGGAATAAAACATATAATGTCAGTATTACTATACATAAAATGGTTTTTATTGATTTTTATAGGTGAAGGTGGGCGATAAAGAAATTGATGTCATGGCTGGATTCATGTTCTACATTACTACAAAACTTCCAAACCCAGCCTACACTCCAGAAATTAGTGCCAAGACATCCATCATTGACTTCACCGTAACCATTAAAGGTCTTGAGAATCAGTTGCTTGGACGAGTGATCCTTACGGAGAAACAGGTAAAGTCAGGGATTTCTCAGACCCACATGCAAAGGGTTCAAGGAGACTGATGTGCTCTAGCATTGAGGAGTATCATGGTAATCTCAGAATCACAGAATTGTGACAGTACAGAAGGAGGCCGTTGAGCTCATTGTGTCAGTACCTGCCCTCCAAATGAACATTCCGAGTGTCTTTCCCTGCAACCTTGCACAATGTTTCTATTCAAATAATTATCTAATGGCCTCTTGACTCCTCAATTCAGTCTGCCTCCAAGACACTTTCAGACAGTGTGTTCCAAGCACTAACTAGTTGGTGTGAGATTTTTTCATCCAATTGCATTTATTTCTTTTAAGAATTGCTTTAAATCTGTGTTGTCTCGTTTTTGATCATTTTACGAGTGGGAGCAGTTTCTCCCTATTCATTTTGATTGGGTAAGGTTTTATCAAACCTCCTCCTGGCCTTATCCTTTCTAAGTCAAACAATCTCAACCTCTCCAATCTACCATTATAACTGAATTTTCTCAGTTTTCTAAAGTTTTCTGAATGGTTCCCTGGGAACCCTCTCTAATATGGTCACATGCTTCTTGAAGTGCAGCACCTAGGACTGTATCCGTACCGACCCTTACACAAGGTTCAGCATTACCACCTTGCTGTTGCGTCAATTACCTTCTTTATAAAGCCTAGGATATTGTAATGTTTTAAGAAACGCGCTCTCCAGCTACCTTTAAATTTGTAAGCCAAGTTGTTGGAAAAGTTGTTGTGCATCTTAAAAAGTATTAAAGTAGATAAGTCCCTGGGTCCTGATGGAATCTACCCCAGAATATTGAAGGAGGCAAGAAAACAAATTGCTGGAGCATCAACAGATATCTTTGTATCCTCTTTGGCCATAGGTGAGGCCCCAGAGGACTGGAGAACAGCCAATGTTGTCCCATTGCTTTGAAAAGGGCAGCAGGGATAATCCAAAAAATTACAGGCCTGTGAGCCTCACGTCGGTGGTAGGGAAATTATTGGAAAAGGTCCTCAGGGACAAGATATATAGGCATTTAGAAGCAAATGGACTTATTAGCGATAAACAATATGGTTTTATACAGGGGAGGTTGTGCCTCACTAACACAATCAAGTTTTTTGAGGAGGTGGCAAAGATGATTGGTAAGGGGAGAGTGGTTGATATTGTCTACAAGGATTTCAGTAAAGCCTTTGACAAGGTCCCTCATGGCAGACTGGTACAAAAGTTGAAGTCACATGGTATCATGGGTGAGCTGGCAAGATGGATACAGAACTGGCTTAGTCATAGAAGACAGAGGGTAGCAGTGGAAGGATGCTTTTTGGAATTGAGGATTGTGACTAGTGTTCCACAGTGATCACTGCTGGGACCTCTGCTGTTCATGGTCTATGTAAATGATTTAGAGGAAAACATGGCTGGTCTAATTGATAAGTTTGTGGATGATACAAAGACTGGTGGAGTTGTGGGTTGTGAGGAGGATTGTACAGAGGATCAGTTGCAGGCATGGGCAGAGAAATGGCAGATTTAATTTGGACTGATGTGAGGTGATGCATTTTGAAAGGTCAAGTACAGGTGGAAATTATACAGCGAATGGCAGAACCCTTAGGACTATTGATATGCAGAGAGATCTGGGTGTGCAGGTCCACAGATCACTGAAGATGGCAGTGCAGGTAGGTAAGGTAGTAAAAACGGCCTATGGCATGCTTGCCTTCATCGGAAGGGGCATTGAGTATAAGGAGAGACAAGTTATGCTGCACCATTTTAGAACTTTACTTAGGCCACACTTGGAATATTGTGTACAGTTCTGTTCATCACATTACCAGAAGGACGTGGATACTTTGGAGAGGGTGCAGAAAAGGTTTACCAGGATGTTGCCTGGTACAGGGGATTTTAGCAAAGAAGAAAGGTTGGACAGACTGGGTTTGTTTTCACTGGAATGCAGGAGGTTGAGGGGTGACCTGATAGAAGTTTACAGATTGTGAATGGCATAGATAGAGTGGAAAGTATGGGGCTTTTTCCCAGGGTGGAGGGGTCAATTACTCGGGGACACAGGATCAAGCTGCGGGGAGGCAAGTGGTGGGGAAGTTTAAAAAAGATGAGCGAGGCAGGTTTTTCACACAAAGAGTCATGAGTGCCTGGAACATGCTGCCAGAGGAGGTGGTGGAAATAGACAGAATAGCAGCTTTCAAGAAGCACCTGGACGAATACATGAATAGGAAGGGAATAGAGGAATACGGATCCTGTAAGTGAAGACAGTTTTAATATGGAAGGGCAAAATGTATCAGTGTAGGCTTGGAGGGCAGTAGGCCCTGCTCCCGTGCTGTATTGTTCTTTGTTCTTTTTTCTTTAATCAATAATAATTTATCTACTATTTCCCAGGTCTCTCTGCTCCTGCACACCATTTTCAGCAGTATCCTGCAAAACTCTATGGTTTTGCCAAGGCCATGTAAACTTGCAGCAAGACATTCCTGCTCTTGTACAAAAATCATCTCACTATGAAGACCAACATATCATTTACCTACTTTACTGCCTGCTGCACCTGTATGCTTAGTTTCAGCGACATTTTTTTATTCATTCATGTGATGAAGATGTCACTGGTGGGCCAGCATTTATTGCCCATCCCTGATACAGTTAAGAGTCAATCATATTGCTGTAGGTCTAAAGTCAAATTGAGATAAGGATAGCAGTTTCCTTCCCTAAAAAATAGCAGTTAACTGGATAGATTTTCCCAACAATTGACAATGGACTCATGGTTAAAATTACACTCTTAATTCTAGACTTTTATTAAATTCAAATTCCACCCAGTCTCACCACCACCCCCCAAACCCTGTATTTCCCATGGCTAACCCACACATCTTTGGACTGTAGAAGGAAACCAGAGCACCCGGTGGAAACCCACACAGACACGGGGAGAATTGTGTAAACTCCGTACAGACAGGCACCCAAGGGTGGAATTGAACCTGGGTCCCTGGTGCTATGAGGCAGTACTGCTAGCCACTGAGCCACCATGTGCCCCATCACCTGGCAGGTACAAGGCAGGTATTCATGTGACTCTGCCAGTGTTGTCTACCTCATACACTGTAGGGAAGGATGCCCTGAGGCATGGTATATTGGCGAGACCATGCAAATGCTAGGACAACAGATGAATGGATACAGTGCAACAATCACCAGACAGGAATATTGCCTCCCAGTCGGGGAACACTTCAGTGATTAAGGACATTCAGCCTCCGATCTTCGGGTAAGCATCCTCCAAGGCAGCTTTTGAGATGTACAACAATGCAGAATTGCTGAGCAGAAACTGATAGCCAACTTCCGTACCCATGAGGACAGCCTTAACCATGATCTTGGCTTCATGTTGCATTACATGTGACCCCACCATACTATTCTGTATTTGCAAAACCTTCCTTACTGTTCTAATTTAACTCCATCACCTTGATCACTTGTTATGGTCTCTCGACCTTAATTAGTTTGTACAGTTTTGGATTACTTGTTACTTTGGTTAGACTGTCGGCATGCAATTCTTGTACCTATCATGTTATTCCAGCCATTTGGTTTGTCTCCAGCACCATATTATTTTTAATTTTTTGTAATCAACTCCGTGTCTCAATTAATTGGATCATAGATTGTCCCTTCACTTGCTATTCAACTGTTGACACTTTACTCACACTGTCTGATAATGTTGATCACCTGTAGAGACTTATTATTCAGCCTGTCGACACTGCACTCACATCATTTGTTCAATCTTTTGATCTCTCTGCCTATAAATTCTGTGCCTTTGTGCTTCCCTTCACTTCACCTGATGAAGAAGCAGTGCTCCAAATGCTTGTGATTTCAAATATACCTGTTGGACTACAGCCTGGTGTTGTGTGACTTCTAACCTTGTCCACCCCAGTTCAATACCTGCACTTCTACATCATACTTTCTGGATTGTTCTATCTGTATCATTGGACTCCTGTCACTAGAAAACAGTACAATTTCTTTGTTAACCCTCATTTCTAATTTACCTCAGTAAAATGTGGAAAATTGAAGTATGTGTTGACAGTTCAGGTCTCTAGACACTTCAACACTACAGTCCCACAATAACAAATAAAACTCCAAAAATGACTAGCCGATTCGCTCCCTTCTTAACACATAAATTGTAAAGGTAAAGTTAAATTAAAATTTAATTTATGTATTGATCTTAACATTCTATATTGCTGCTCTGAAATTTGAATGGACGAGGTTTGGTGCCTGAAGATTTAGCTGAATTGGTCAACTTTCTAATACCCATCTGTCTTCCTAAACTCATGAGCCAGGGCTTTGAGTGCTTATTCTTGTTAAGCTGTTCCTCTGCCATTATCTCCTCTTCCTCCTCAGCCGGATTAGCGACCACCATTTGTGTGATCTCTCTGTCAAAAGCCCCTGTAAGGTCTGAATTTTAGGGCCGTTGTGGCCTAGTGGTAGTGTCCATAGCCCCTGGACTGGTTCAAATCCTACCTGCTCCAGAGGTGTGCCATAACATCACTGGGCAGGTTGATTAGCAAAAACATAATTGTAGTCAAAGAACACTTATCATATAAGGAGGCCAAGGCATAAAAGGCTATGGGTCAAATGCTGGAAAATGGAATTAGAACACCTAGGTGGTTGATTTTGACTGATGCAGACTCAATGGGCTGAAGGATTTTTTTCTATGCTCAAGACTTCTATGATTCTACAACTTATTCAAATAATTACAATTATAGAGTCATAGAGGCATACCCCAGCACAGAAACAGACCCTTTGGCTCCATGTCAACCAGGTTTCCTGAACTGAACTAGTCCAATTTGCCTGCATTTACCCCATATCCCTCTAAACCTTTCCTGTCCATGTTCCTGTCCAAATGTCTTTTAAATGTTATTATTGTACCCGCCTCTAGCACTTCCTCAGGCAGCTCATTCCACAGACACACCATCCTCTGTGTGAAAACATTATCCCAGAGATCCCTTTTAAATTTCTCCTCTCTCACTTTAAACCTTTCCCCTCTAGCTTTGGATTCCTCCACCG